GCGTGGACGATCTAGAAAATGAGAATGAAACTTGGTTCCGATGGTGATTATGGCAAAAACTTAAAGCTTAAGTTATCAAATTAATGATTGTGAGAGAGAATAGCAGGGCAATTTTCCTTTGGCAAAGCAAAAATATGCAAATGCATTGCACGGTCGCCTTGCCATAGGAGGACTGCACTGTTATTCCTTAAGCCCACATTTGCATGCCTTGTTTCAAACAATAGAGCTTGATTCTTCATAGAAACTTCAAATCCTTTTTATGCTACTTGGTTCACACATTGGTTTTGGATATGCCAAAGAACATAAATAGAAATATAGCATATGCAAGGACAATTTGCATAGAGATTCTCTTTACAACAATGATTCATCCCCCCCTTTTCCTCCCACTCCCTTTGACCCCCTCTCTCTCTCATTGGTTACATTTTCTTTTTCTTTTTCTTTTTTTTCCTGCTCCTCCAATCACCACCTGCCACGTGACAAAGGGGGTGAGGGGGTGACCCCCAAAAGGGGGTCCCAAGCATTATTCTTCTCTTTATTTCATTGATGGGGCCAGATCCTCTCACTATCATCTTATTTCCAAAACAAGAACATATTTACCTTTTTCTCTTTTTTTGATTTAGATGCTAATATGTTTGTCAAGTTACAAGGACTTAAAACAATGGTTTTTCTTTCCTTAAAGTAGAGATTCTTTTGTTCATGTTTATGTTGTGTGGACGATAATAAAAAGTCAAATCTCTTGGCCATGCACAATTATTCTATGACAAATGAAAGTTGATATTTTTCACAACCATTTTAAATGGAATGCCAAATTTATAAAATAATGGATCTCTTGACCTCCACAGTACCAAAGAAAAAATATAGTATCAGAAAGGGAATATTGTTGGTGGGACTAGAGTGTCAAAAACAGTGGTATTAGAGTTTTTCAATTATTTTACAACAATTTGTAATCAAAGCTTTCGCTATGTGCATTTATGTATTTTCCGACAACTACTATTGACATTTTCATAATTTATTGGTTTTCATAATTCAAGTTTTATTACTCTGACGAAGGAATCATTAAAATAGTTCAAAATATAAAATGATATCACTCATTATAACAAATTAAGATTTTAGAGATAAAAATTTAACGATAAAATCACATTTTAGCAACGAAATATTTTAATTACCAAAAGTATCATTGTTATATTTTTTTATGACAAAACTAGACATTTAATACCTTTTAAGGGACCAAAATTTCGTGTCTCAAAAACCAATTCTTTTTGGCACCAAATCCAAATTGATTTCTCCCAACACGTGTACTTTTAGGGACATTTGTAATTTTTGTCACTAAAAGTCTCTTCTTTTTTTGTAAAAAGCTTTTCGGGATGACTTTGTAGCAACAATTCTCTTGACAACAAGAATTAGTCCCCAAATGTTTTTCGTAAAAAATTTTCTATGAAGAATAAAAAAAAAGTGCTCCCTAAAACTCTTATATGATGTAGTAGCTGTTTGGTCTGAATATATATATATATATATATTTCTTTTGTACATCTCCATTAAACATCATTATACAACATATGCTTATCTGTGAACACTAAACAGTATATTTGTGATCATTTTTTGATTCAAATTATTACAACTAAGATTTAAAAAATAAAAATAAATAAATAAAAATACTGAAGAAAATAATTGTAAGCTATGAAATGTAAGTGTTATTCATAATCATAGTAGAACATAATTCCACACAAACTTGATATCCTTCAAAGTGTGAGCACATGTAATTTGATGCATACCAATGAACTTCAATTTATACATATAATTGAATTTTATGAATTTTCAATGTAAGTTTAGTTAATATTCATTTGAATAATGTCGCTTTGTGTAAGTATTTTTCTTTTTTTATTTCTACTTCATGTCAAGATGCACATTTGACATTCCAAGAGAAAATGCAGAGAGAGAAAAGATGTGTTGGAAATGGTTTTGTAAAAATCATGTTTTTAACAAACTTTAAGCTAAAATATAAGTGGGTCTCACTCACTATTTTTTGTTAGTTTAAGTGGTGACGTATTCTATGTGCAGTGATTAACATTATGTAATTGGTTCAACAAGGGAACTTATGTGTATATAAGATTCAAGTTTGAGAATTAGGTTTGGGTCCTTGGGGCACAAATTTTGTAAGAAGGGGAGTTACGAACAAAGTGGGGTTTAGGGCTGGTCATGGATCCATCTAACCCGCTCAACCCGACTGAACCGACCCAGCCTAGCCCAGCCTAATGGATTTTGGGCGGGTGCGTGTCTTTCAACGAATGGAAGGGAATGAAATGTTTCAAAATCTACAGATGTGGTTCGGATGGTGGATTAACTATCTTGCACCTGCATGAACCCGGATCGCCTATAGATGACATTACAAAAAAAAAAAAAAAATTTCGAACAAGTAATAACATAGAGTGGAAATAACAAAATATATATTTTGTGAAAATGATAGACAATACTTCAAAAATATACATGCCTGGTGCCATGGATTATTATAGACAAATAAACATATTTTTCAAATTGCTAGTTATTAGAGATTGTAAAAGTTATGAATTATAATTCAAAAACAAAAATGTTCAAAATTTGTAAAGTCCAAACTATCAAACCGATCGCATTGAACCGCCAACTCGTACGGTCCGCTCAATCTGCATCCACCAAAATGATGGACGGATGTCGATTGATTTTTTTTAATCCTCCTAATTTTGGGCGGATGGGAGATGGGATGCCATCTGACCTAACCCAATCTACGATCACCTCTAGAGGGGTTAGACCCAAATTACCGCACACATGGTATGCCACCCCATCTTGCAGTAAGTCAGGCACAGGTATTGGGTTGGTCTGTATTATATTTTTTGGACAAAATTCGTTTGATTTTTTTCAAAATTTTTTGTATGAATTTCAAATTCAAATGCAAATTCATTGTGCCAAAATTTGAATTCGAATTTCAAAATTTCATTCCAGTTGCCTCCTTTCTGACTCGTTGCGTTTTTTTATTGTGTCTTTCTGCGCAACTCCGAATAGCCATCAACGCACCTCCAAACAAACACCTTACAGACTAGAAATAGTATCCTCATTGTAACAATCAATTCCACTCTAGTTTCGGATCTCCTCTTTCTTTGTTCTTCGCTCTCTTCTGCTTTTGCATTTTCTACATTATAGAGAATTAAGAATTTTCACACATACACATAGATAGAGAGAGAGAGAGAGAGAGAGAGAGAGAGAGAGAGAGAGTGTGTTACACTATCTGGTTGGTTCGCCATGTTTTAAGTTATAGTGCTAGAACTTTAAGTGTAGTCATTGCATCTTGAGAAGAAGACGTCGGTCAAACTCTAAGCACCAGAGCAAGCACTACAACAAAACTGATTTTTTACGGCATCACATCAATGGCATACAATAAATGGACGTCATAAATACTTTTTCCAACCACGGCGTGTCTATTGCGTAGGCCATGAATGATAATAACGATGATTTTTTTACAGCTTGCAATACATGCCGTAAATAATAAAACTTTCTACGACGTGCATATGGTGTGCCGTTAATACATCAATTATATACGACGCACATACGCTAGCCGTGAAAAGTGAATACTTTTCACGGCGCACACAACGTCTGCCGTTAAAAAGTATTGCCTTTTTACGACGCACATAATGCCTGCCGCCAAAAGTATTGCAATTTTTATGACAGACAATGTATGTCGTAAATTATATGATCAAAAACAAAGAAGCGCCACCAAAAAAAAAAAAAAAACAAAAACAAAATAAGGAAAAGAAAATATACATCAATTGTTTGGGCTTCTAATATATTCTAATCGAGCAAGGATCCTTTAGAATTTTTTTTTCTTAAAATTTCCTAGAGTGGTGCATTGTGTGGTTGAAATTTAATGACAAATTACATCAATTTTTTAACATTAAATCTCAACCACATGATACACCATTTTAAAAAACTTTAGGAAAAAAACAAAAAACACTCTAGAGCATCTCTGTGATTCTAATCATTAGACATTGGTTCGAAGGGTATCCATCGCCGGTACAACTCCACTTAACAGTGTCGGGCACAGGGAGGGAGATAAGGAACGGTACACACTCAGGCCCCGTTTGTTTTGGGTTATAGCAAGGGGATTAGGATTACTAGTACCTTGGGATTAGTATATGTGGTGTTTGTTTTGAGAGATAGCCTTGGGACTATTAATACCTTGGGACTAACTAATACCTTGGTATTACTAATACCTTATTTGTTTTGAGAGATAGGCAGGGTACTACTAATACCTTGGTATTACTAATACCCTTGGGCCCCGTTTGTTTTGAGAGATAGAATAGAGGGGATTGATAGTGAAGGGATTAATAGTGAGGGGATTATTAATGAGGGGATTGATAGTGAGGGGATTAGTAGTGAGGGGATTGATAGTGAGGGGATTAGTAGTGAGACTATCAATCCCCTCACTAACAATCCCCTCATTATTAATCCCCTCACTATCAATCCCCTCACTAACAATCCCCTCATTATTAATCCCCTCACTATCAATCCCCTCACTAACAATCCCCTCATTATTAATCCCCTCACTATCAATCCCCTCACTAACAATCCCCTCATTATTAATCCCCTCACTATCAATCCCCTCACTAACAATCCCCTCATTATTAATCCCCTCACTATCAATCCCCTCACTAACAATCCCCTCATTATTAATCCCCTCACTATCAATCCCCTCACTAACAATCCCCTCATTATTAATCCCCTCACTATCAATCCCCTCACTAACAATCCCCTCATTATTAATCCTCTCACTATCAATCCCCTCTATCTCTGAAAACAAACGACCCTCACTAACAATCCCCTCACTATTAATCCCCTCACTATCAATCCCCTCACTAACAATCCCCTCATTATTAATCCCCTCACTATCAATTCCCTCCATTCTATCTCTGAAAACAAACGACCCTCACTAACAATCCCCTCACTATTAATCTCCTCACTATCAATCCCTTCCATTCCATCTCTTCTCTTCTCTCTCTCTTTCTCTCAAATTTGCCCTAAACACATCTCATTTGGGGCATTTCTCTCTCTCACTCTCTTTCAGATTTTACCTAAACACATCTCATTTGGGGCATCTATCTTTCTCTCTCTCAGATTTGCAAATGAGATTGAGCTGGGCCAAGTCGAGTTGCGGAGTTACTCTGATGGGTCGTCGCTCGGGTGGGAGACCGAGTCGAAGCATGGCGAGGTCGAGAGGAAGAAAGGAACTCCATGGAGAGAAGAAGAACACAGGTACATTTTCTGAGTTGTTTAGATTCTTTTCTTGGCTACCAAACAAAGTGTTTTCTTGGGGGCCAAATAGAGCATCTAGTTATGTACATGAGTTTCTTGATTGAAATGTTTTTTTTCCCTTTTTTGATTTTGTGTTTTATTAAGAAAGGCAATCAATTCTCAATTCTTTCGAGCATATATTATTTTCAGGTGCTTGTCTTCTTTAAATTCTCCTTATATACAATACCAAACACTCTTGCTCTCTTTCCTTCACTACCCTAGTCTCTCTCTCTCTCTCTCTCTCTCTCTCTCTCTCTCTCTCTCAGCCTAAGCAGTATTTAGTTCCGCACATGCCCTATAAGCATCAAAAGCTGATTGATTGTTAGGTGTTTGATTAAATTCCCCTTAGAAATCTTGTCTTTTTTAAAGTTTTTTTTTTTATTCTATTTTTAATTTTTATTATTGGAGCAATAGATTGCGTTTTGAACGTTATGAACTATTTTGAGAAATTGGTGACCAAAGTCGTGGTATCGTTTTCTCTTTGTTGGCTATTTAAGCTAATTTTTCAATTCTTCAATGGAAATTTGATTTCTGTAACTATTTGAAATTTTGTGCAATACTTATTTCATCCTGAAATCCTGAAGATTACTGTGGCGCATTTGATTTTTCCATCAAATAACATGACACTTTTTTGTTTTGCTTTGGGTATCATTCTTTCTGTATGCACTATATAGCGTACTTTTTTAATGGTTATGTACATCTGGAATGAACAGTTGATTCAACATGGATTCACTCTCATTTTTAGGCTTGTTTTTCGGGTGGTTGGACTCTTTTTGGAGTAATTACTGAACCATGAATCTGGTTTTCATTAATAAAATAAAATAAAGTCGATGATAATGCTTACGAAATTCGTTATGTTTAAAAAAAGTGATTCTGGTGATGAGTTTCTTCAAGGTTGTGGTTCTTTCTAGCATAAAAGTGGAGAATAGGTCCGCATGATTAATACATTATATTCTATAAATGTACACTAATTTAGAAGAATAAAAGTGCCGAGTTGTCCTTGCACGGTTGCCCACTGGTTATGAAATAGTTAAGTCCACCACTGCTCCTTCCAACTTATGTTTGAGCATGGATCTTAAAGTTACTAACACAATACGCCGGAAAAAGTGACTTATAATATTTTCTCATAGTATTTGAGCCGTTTGTTTTGTTTTTTTTCTTAAAATTGCTTTCTTGGGAGAAAATGGAAGTGGGATCTGTTGAGGGTAGTTTCCTGTTTAATTATCACATGCCACACTACAAGACTCTGTTTGGTCTGTGCATGTCTGATGTGGATCACCAATGATTTCCAGCAAGACCAATGAGACAATGATTGCTCATATTGGTATATGGATGCATTACTCTCTCTCTCTCTCTTTGTTTTTTTTATATCCTGACTGAGCTTTTTCTTTCTTGCTCAGGGTCCACATAACAAGAACTTGGTCAATTGTGATAAAAAGTTGAGGAGTATTTTGTTGGGTAAACCTCAAGTTGAGCTTGCTGAACTTCCTACACTAATCAAGTTGCATTTCCCAAAAGAGGCAAAAGGATTTTAACTATTTGAATTAAGGTGCTTATCTTCTTTAAATTCTCCTTATATACATTACCAAACACTCTTGCTGCTTCACGTTGTGATAAATTAATTGGTGAGATATTTTTATGTTCCATTTTGTTACTAGCTAAATGGATTCAGTTTTTGATTTCCATTATATCATTTTTTAGCCAGTTTCTTATTTGAGTTTTTTATTTGGACTTACTGCTTTTCCTTATAATATCTCAACTCTGCACCCATATACCATGGCTGATAAGTACTTAAACATCCTCGAGTTGACCTTATTCTTGGCTGATTTTGTGGAATTACATTCATAGCATCTCAACTGCCAATTGTTACAAATGCACACATATCTCTCTACAACAGTAGGAACTGAACCCAGGTACACCTGTTGTGCTCTCATATTATTCTTGTTTCAGGCCTGCTTAAGCACAATGCTGGGATGGCATTGCACATCTGAAGTAAGTTTGAAGATACAGAAGTTGGTTTTGTTAACTGCAACTGTATTGCATAATTGTGAGAACTATACAATTTTGGGAACAAAATCTTAATTTATGAATCTAGACTAATTAATTCATATGAATACTGAGAGCAGCACTGATGATTACATATGTTACAATATACATAAGGAAATTATAGGAATACACCTAGGGAATTCTTAATGGTGTAATCAGCGGCAATACCATTTGTCTTCTTTGTAGGATGGAAGGAATCCCAGAATACATATTTATTGGCATCTGTACAAGTGAAAGGGTTGAATTTGTCACATATGTAACCCATCTGAAGCAAGCCAGTTGCACAACATACTATTGTTGCTTTGTCAAATCCTGTCAC